ACCTTCCGCATTCCTGTAACTGTTAGAGGTTTTGGGAGTTGCCGTAATGCCTCTACACGCTCTGTTGTCATTCTCCTTCCCTCGACAGATATTTCTTGGCCCAAGTAGATAACCTTGGTTTTGGCCAGCTGTGCTTTGTCAGGGTTGACTTTGAATCCTCCTTTCTTAAGGGCTTGTAGGACAACATTCAGAGCAAATATATGGCTGTTTTCATCTGGGCTTGCAATCAACAAGTCATCAACATATTGGAGGCAAACACTTCCTGAACTCTCAATCTCAGCTTTTTGCTCCATTAAGAACTGATCCAAAGTTCTATGAAATACAACAGGGGAAAGATTAAGACCTTGTGGGAGTCTGTTCCAAACATACTGTTTTGCGCCTACTGTGAAGGCTAATTTCTCTTGAGATTTTTCATCAATAGGTATAGACCAGAAAGCTGACAGTACATCTAGTACCGTGAAAATTCTTGCATTTCCTGGAATATCATTCAGAATGGTGGCAGGATTGGCCACAATAGGATGCGGTTTTGGTGTTACACTGTTAAGTCTTGTGTAATCAATGGTTAATCTCCATGAGTTATCCGATTTCCTGACAGGCCAGACAGGACTATTAGTGGTAGATGAAGTTTGTCTGATGTTTCCTTCAGCTTCCAAGTCTGCCACTATCTCTTCCACGGCTTGTCTTGCTTCAGGTCGGATAGGGTATTGTTTATGAGGGGCATGTATCGGTCCCTCAATAACAACGGGGTCAATGTTGGCTTTGCCACAATCCAATTTGTGTTTAGCCCAAACATCTGAATATAAACTGCACAGAAGACCCCACACACCATCTTTTCCCCAATTTCTGATGATTGGTTTTGCTGTACCAACAGAACTTAAATTACATGTGCGATCTTCGTGTGGTATTATCCCAGCTGTTGTAGCGATTTGACGACTGTCAGTGAATATGATCATGTTCAACAATGGAAGAATGTCCATGCCAATAAGGCTTCCTTGTGAATTCGGCCCAACCCAGAAAGATGTCCATAAGACTTCATCTTCATGTATTTGCAGTGGAACTTGAATACTTTTGCGAAATTTTGTGATACCTCCTCCAACTCCTTCAACTTCCATAGTTTCATCTGTTGTAGGTAGGTTCAGATCTGTTATTGAAATGGCTGCTCCTGTGTCAACAAGGATGTCACATGGGTGGCCCCCTATTAATGCATTGACGAAAAGGCGATTGTCTCTTTTCTTACTAATACAGGGGGCCGCTGATTCCTATTGCGGACGCATAATTCCCTCAATGAGCTGACGGACTTGTGCTTCAGTCCATGTCTTCCCTTGAGTGGTTTCTTCATGGTTTTTCGCACTGACCTGTCTAAATGATGGACCTTGACCTTCTGCTCCACCTCCTTTAGCCCAACAATCTATTTTGGAGTGTCCACGCTTTCCACAGTTGCTGCAGAAAATCACCCTATTCTTTGTGTCCTTGTTGTATTGAGCTGTTGCCACTCCTCTTCGATATGGCTTGTTTCCTTCTTCTTTATTTGATCTCATAGCCATCTCTAAGCGGCCAGCCCATTGCATAATTTGGTCAAATGTTTCACCTGGATTGACTCCAAGTGATAAGGCATGTTGGTATTTTGTGCTGAAACCATCGACAAGTGTGTCAGTGAACTGTACATCATCTCTGTCAGGTTGTTTCTTAGCACAGAGGGCCCATCTTTCATAAGCATTCCACTTACGCAGAGCATATTCATCTGGAGATTCATCATCCTTTTGCTTAATCAATGTCACTGATGTGAATGGAATTTTACCACTTCCCAAGATTTCTTGGATTACTTTTCGGAACTCATCTAATGCTTGCCAAAGACCCAGGTGTCTTCCCTGGCCGTCGACCCACAAGTCTACCCACTGGGCTGTTGTTATCGATGCTGGCAAGCGTTCCCATCGGTCTCTTGGGATTTTAGCTTTCACAATGGTGTGTATATCTCTTAATGTCATTTGATGTGCTTCAACTAATGAGTCCAATTCTCGCCAAAACTCTGTGTTTGGATCTTGTCTCTTCAGAGGAGGCAAGGCTGTGAGAATGGCTTGACGTTCTCCTGGTGTGAATGGTCTTTCTTCTGTCATCATTTCAGATTCTTCCCTTTTAATCGCAGGTGAAGAAAATTCAGGACCGATCTTATCAACTGTGATCATGTCGTCATCTTTTGTCTCATCGCCCCAGTCAGAATCATAATTCCGAGCTGGTGTACATCGCAGCATGTCTCTGTTTGGCTGAACTGTTTTAGATCTTGTTATTACCGGAGCTGCTTGTGCAGATGCAATATACATTTTGTCAACTGGACCTCCATTTGATCTCGAAGCTTGAGGCTGTGTCAGAGGTTTAGATGAACTTGTACATTGTTCAGGCAAAGTTGGATAAATTGGGTTGTAAGGAGGAGGCGTTACAGTTGTTGCGGATTTCACTGGTGGTTGTGAGTATTTTCTTTCAGCTTCAGTTATTATATTTGTCCAATCTGGATCAAATAAATCTTCACTGGTTGTATTTGCTTCATCTGAACATTTAATAGACATGATTTTGTTCAATTTGGTATATGCTTCAATTTGAGGCTTCATTGCTTCAGCAAGTGGAACTGGACCACCATTCATATCGCAAAAAATTCCACCTTGTTTCACAATCCAATGAGCCGCCAGTATTGGGAATGCTTTTGATTTGATCTTGTCTTTTTGGGACTCGAACCAGCTTAACTGCTCATCCATAGATGCATTGATATCCAGACCTTTTTTCAAAAGTTTAGCTTGTTTCTTCCTCTTCCTTTCCAGGTACCAAGAAGATATTGTTCTGCTGTTACAGACACTTTCTCCCATGTTTCAAAGAATTTGTCACTCTGTGTCTCTGTGCTCAGAACAGCAGGGCTATGTGTGTGTGCGTATATGTGTGTGTGTGTGTGTGTATGTATATAGAGTGAATTCCAAAGGGAGGGGCTGCTTCTCTCTCTCTCTCTTCTCTAAGCCCTATAAGAACTCAGGGAAAAGAAAATTTTAAAGAAAGATTAAAAACAAGTTATCCCTTATATTTTAGTTATCTATTCTTTTTTCTTTTTAATTTACTTAGTTCAACTCAGATACATTTTTTCTTCTTTCTTTTTTTCCTAGTTTATCTCAGATTAATTTCTTTGTTTTTCTTTTTCCTTTAAGTTTAACTCAGATAAGTTTATTCTTTCTTTTTCCTCTAGTTTATCTTAGATTAATTTCTTTGTTTTTTCTTTTTTCTTTAAGTTCAACTCAGATCAGTATCCTCAAACATTTGAACAGTTTTATGGTCAAAATCAGAATGCCCGCGATTCTAGCTCTTTTTTTTTTCATTGATACCCTTCTTCTAAGGGTTCAATCCTCTGCGTATTTAAACGTTTTAGGGTTTTCTTCGTATCTTCTATATACTGCACTGCACTAACTCAGAGCACAGACCCGCCACTTTAAACCGCTATAAATCACTGCTTGTTACACTTTCCTCGTCTCCTTCTGAGAACGAATCTTCTGTGTGTTGGATGCTTTAGGGTTCATTCTGCCATCTTTTTAGACAGTCCCGCCACAATCCAACCACGTCGCAGTTGTAAACAAGCAAATTTGCCTAGCTTAACCGTCTTATAGCTAATTCTATATGGTCTTCTTTCTAAAAAAGATCCACTTTTACCCAAGCATCATTCAAATATTTTAGAGGTTTTACTGATCAGAGCAACTTAAATAAGCCAAATTTAATTGTCTGACATATATTCATTGGCAACACAACTGGTACTTTAAATAACACAGTTCTTTTAAGCAGTTTCAGTCAATGTCTAATCATCAGGCAGACTTAGAATTATTTTAGAAAAAGAAAAAGTCTTACCTTGAATGATTGAGACAAATGCCTGAAGATGCGATCCTGTTGTTCGTGACGCCAAATTGTAGACTTGGAATTAAGCCTTTTCCCCGTTATTATTTAATTCACGGGACCAGACACCAGTTATCTTGCCAAGAAAGATTTTTATTCTTATATGTCAGGAGAGAAACTCTGAGAAGATGTTATATTCATGCCAGGTCTATGCGTTTCGTGTTTCTCCTTCCTCTCACCCAGTCATGCCTCCATGTTTCTCTGCTGTAGTACAGTAAGATTGAGTTTTTATACATCACAGAGAGTCTTACAGCTTCCTTGTAAGGTAACAAAACATATTGCTTATGCTTAAAATGAAATGTATATGCACATGGTACAATCCACTTTCCACATTAAGAAACTATTTCTCAGTGTATACATTAGTGGTATACAAATGGTACATTTGCATCAGTTGAAACATTCATTTTCTTGCAAAGAGCATACCAACTGTACACATTTGAAGTATATTCATCATTGGAACTCTCTGCTAAGTGAACATTACATACCTCTAAGCAGAATACATAATCCTCCCAGCTACCCTCCTTGTGTCTAAAATATGTTCCTTAAACACATGTGTCCATGCAATCTATAGTCTACTCATGCATTTTAAACTTCATAAGATAATACAACTTATTATGAATACTAAATAAAGAATAATAATACAGATACATAATATTAATTAATGAAATTATATTCAAAGATGAAATTTTAGTCTTCACTTACCATCTAATCTACCAAGACCTTAATATGTGGCCTTGTTAGGAGATGATCAACGATATTCGCTTCACCTGTGACTGGTCATAATGTTTTGGATCATCAGTGTAAAAAGAACTGGAGCATTAATTCCACGTGCATTTAATATTACTGAACTAATATTGGACAAATAAATTGATGACAATACTACATTGCCAATTCTGTTCTTTCTGAGCTCGCTCAAGAGATGTGTGCACAGACATTCTTAGGGTGTGTGATGATAAAAAAAAAACCCACAGAATGTTCCAGGTACTGAATCATGTGTCATAGGAGTTTCTAATTTCTAATTTTCTAATTTTAGCTGGCTGTGTTTCAACAAAAAATATTTTCTTCCATTCCAGGGCAGGTTTTCCCTGTAAACAGTGCCAGGACGTGTATAAAATAAGTCAAACTTCCTGCTTACCCACAGCAGGTGCAAGAGCAGCTTAGAAGAACTGTAAGTCAAATCTTTCTATTTAATGTTGCTCCATAAGCTATATTCTCTCACAATTTGTCCTTATTTGTGTAATGAAATGAACTACAATATTAAATTATGATATTATAAGGATTTTGCTATAAATGTATAAAAACATATAAAGCAATTAGAATGAATATTCAACTTTATTAATCAGTAATACGTAATAATAATATATAGTTATAATATAAGTAATTTATTGTTAAAGAATATTGCCTTTTTTTCCAGTCGCTTCAAAACTGGCTCCTACAGATATATATATATTGAAAATATTTAATTTCTAATAAATTATTATTATTTCTATTATTCAAGGTTAACATCTATATAGTGAGAATAATAAATCTCCCTCTGATTACAGAAGAAGGACTCCTACATGCTGGTTTTATCCCCGACTTCATCATGAGATTATTTCTGGTTTCACAGCTTCTGCTGGTGTTCGTATCAGTCCTGGCACTGAGTAAGGTTTAGTTTCTGTTTGATTATCAGTCTTTATGTGGCAAAATATACTGTAAACATACAATTTTGTGTTTCTGAATTTAATAATCTCTTTCTCTTTAACAGCTAGGGCACAAACAACAACTCAAACATCAACTGACACAGCAACAACTGAAACAACAACAACAACACAGGCTATAGGTAACGTCAAAAATATTACATATTAGATATTAGATATATATCAGATATATTAGATCCGACCCCGGAGACTAAATCCCTGCCAGTAGAAATCAGTCTTCTATTATCCTGAGAGTTTGACTGCGATAACCAAGGAAGAGCAGAAGCAGGAGATGAAGTGATGATAGTAAAAAGAGCAGATTTTATTGAATAATCTTAGTTGCGTATGTTTCAATGCTCAGACTTCATCTAGATGTTACACTACTCAATGCTCAGACTTCATCTAGATGTTACACTACTCAATGCTCAGACTTCATCTAGATGTTACACTACTCAATGCTCAGACTTCATCTAGATGTTACACTACTCAATGCTCAGACTTCATCTGACCAGTACAAATCCAACCAGTGTTATTATTATACCAAAGCACAAACAATGGAAAATTACTGCTTCACAACATCGTCCTGTGATCTTACTTATTCATGAAGACAAACATCCCTTAAAACCTCACAATCATACGATTAAACAACAATAGCAAGCATTGTATATTTGTGTATTATAATAAAATAATAAGTAATATAAAAACATAAAATGACATAAATTAATAATAAAAAAATAATATAATGATAAAAGGATAAAATAATAAATGTAAATCAAGAAATAATAATTTGAATAAAGGATTAAATGGTAAACCAAATGACAACTACATAAATTACTAATAATTATAAATGATTAATAAAGGCGAAGCACAGGCGAAGCACTGCTACTTGGGCGCAGAGATATCACGCAACACCTGAAATAAAGCTTGCCACAAAGAACCTGCGAAAGTAATGATTATGCATGAAACATTTGAATTGTTGATAAATTGATCAAGTTGATGCAGACTCGCCATCTTTGCCATCTGTGATTGGCTGAAAGACATTGTTAGGACAGACACAAAGCCATCAAGCCTTCAGTCGGGACTGCAGTCACAACACTATTATTATAGACAAAAATGTGTATTGATATGTTACTTTTTTGCAGTCTTTAAAGTTCAAATGAAAATTGTCATTAATTACTTAATTACTCTCCCTCATGTTGTTCAAACCCATAAGACTTTCATTCATCTTCGAAAGAAGACTTTTTTCCAATCTATGAAATCTGATAGATTTCTGTCCCATTTCTGTCCCTCCATTGACAGCTACGACTTTGAAGCTTCAAAAAGTTCATAAAGAGATCGTATGAATCAAGTGGTTTAGTCCACATTTTCTGAAGAGACACGAATGCTTTATATGATGATCAGATTTAATTTAGGCTTTTATTCACATATAAACATTGATTAGTGGACATAAACAGAAGCTCAACCGAACCTGCTTGAAGCGAGAGAACAAACCTCTTGCTGAAGCTCAAAGGTGCTGCGTAACACAAGAATTAATCTCATTGGTTCTTGCAGAAGCTCAAAGGTGCTGCGTAACACAAGAATGAACCTCATTGGTTCTTGCAGAAGCTCAAAGCATGTTTAAGCTTCCGTTTACCACAACTGATGAGTGAGTTGATAAATGTTATATGTACAAAAAAAAGCCTAATTTCAATCTGTTCATCAAATAAAGAGATCATGTCTCTTCAGAAAATGTATTTTGTTGCGTTTAGCTGAGGTCTGTTATTCTTGAGCTCATAATAAACTTTTGTCTTAACTCATACAGTAAATTACAGTATGTGTTAAGCTTATATTAGACCTTCCATTGGACCACTTGAGATGGATTGACCCCACTTCTCTTTCAAGAAAAAAGACCAAAAATATAGATGATGACTCTCATATATGACTCAATATATAATTATTTGTCCACTTAAATTCTCTCTAGAACATTGTGAGGTACTTAGACCTTTAGATTAGAACCATATCTGTTTACAAAATGTTGTTTCTGGTGTCAGTTGAACAAACCCAATATGAACCTGAGAAGTCAGTGAGCATCTTCATTAGGAAAGAAAACTGTTCTTGTCAAGTGAGTTAATTAGGAATTTAATGGCGTTTGTATTTGTGTTTATTCTTTCAGAACCCACCACCACTGAAAACACCACAGTCCTGACACCATGTAATTAGTCATGAGTTTATCACAGTCTTTGGCTGTATTTACACTGCAAAGTGTTACGACCGCTAGGGGTCAGCCGCAACAGGAAAAGGAAGAGAGTCACACTACCAGAGAGATAACGAGTAATATGAATTTTATTGACCATAAAGGGTTAGCGTCAGGGGCAGACAAGGCCAAAATAACAAACAAAACAATTTTCTTTTAAGAACCTAAATGACCTTTAACAAAAGAAAGAAATGAAAATACAGTTTAACTTACCTAACTCCCTTACACATAAACAAAGTGAAAAATAAATACAAATAAATAGGCGTCAAACCCCCTACATCCCTTGATATGGTAACAATTACAAGAATGTTTACACACATTTAAAATAGTATCAGGTTGACAAGTTAGAATCGGAATCCAAAGACGTAGTCAATCAGGCAATAATCAGATATAGAAGAAAACCAGAAGTAGGATTACATTCAACAAACACTTACTCAATTTCACTAAACACTAATAATCTCTCTGGCACAACACTCTTACTCAATTAAATAATGGTGAAACAAACAAAGCTGAAGAGAAGCACCTAAACGGTACGACCGCTAAACACAAAGGCATAAAGCACAAAGTCAGCGAGGCTCAAAGGCAACCATGGTGTGTCAGAGGCAGTCCTTATATCCAGGTCAGGTGCATAGCTGGTCCAATCACAGTCTTCCAAAGATTAACAGAGCTTCTGAAACAAGCTTGTCAACACACAGAGAGAAAGAGAGCAAGACACACCCACACACAAGGACAATTGATACAAACACACAAAATATCTCAGAATCCTAACAAAAGTGAAATGAATACTGAAAATAGAAATATAGAAACTATAATAGTATATTAATTACCATTGTGTATGAAATGTGTTATATAAATAAACTTGCCTTGCCTTGCCATAGTAAAATAACTGCTGAAATTTACTGATTTGGCCAGTAAACCCATTGCTTTTAATGGAAACCTTGAATGTCTTGGGCAGTTTTGTGCTTGTAAAGCTAGTTTCTTCAAATATCTTATTTTTTGCAAGCTAAAACATGTCCTGGCTTGTGTTTATTTCTAATGTATGGGGCCAGGGGCGGACTGGCCATCTGTGTGATCTGGAGAATCACAGAACGGCCGGTACTCCAGGACGGCCGGCGGGCCGGCCCACCACCCGCCACCCGCCACACACGCAGTCACAGACATCCCAAGTCTCCCAGAAATTCCGGGAGTCTCCCGCATATTGATAGCGGCTCCCTGAGTCCCGCAAATTAGTTAAAATCTCCTGGAATCTAGAGCGAGCAAGAGCGCACATGCGTAGCACGCGCACGGCAGAGGGAGCGAGCGAGAGACCTTGCGTGTGTGTGCGCGTGTGCCTCACGAAGCGCATGTAAGGACCCAACCAATCAATTGTCAGTGCGGACGGGCTTTTATCTCTACTACTCCCGAATCGAATTAATCAGAAATTACTTTGCAAGTTACTTAATTGCTAGGGATGACGTTAGGAAGTGATATTCAGCGTGCAACATTTTTAATGATTACAGTAGTTAAAACAGCTAAACTTCAACATTTTAGCTGCAAAATTCCACATGCAGTAGCTAATATTAAGAAATATGTTGTGCTTTTACTTTTAAAAATGTTGGTAACGTTACAGTTGATGCTTACAAACTTTGAAGATTTTGAATACAGAAGTTACATTTGTAATGGTGTATTTTCATTTGGGATGTGGTATTATTATTTGTGCAGTAGCTAAGATTAATTACTGCATAAATGAATTAAGATTATTAAGTAATACATTCATTTTAAGACAGCTGGAATAGATTTTATTATATGCTGTTAGCTATAATTTGGATGGTAGTATCATGAGCCACAATTAAATTTGTGACACTCATGCCAGGCGGCAGGCGTTATTGTTGTTGTTGTCGAGTTTCCGCGCACCGATTGCTTTGGGCCGGGCCTAGTCATAGTCAGGGCCGTTTTTTAGTCCCAGTCCGTCCCTGATGGGGCGAATGAATTGAGTTGCAAGACAAATATCATACACCCATGCAAACTTTTTTATGTATTTTACATAAGTGTTTTATAATTTAATGTTCTTTTTTTTTTTTATGACACATTTTTTTCTTTCAGTATCCACCACTACAACCACCACAGTCCTACCAGGTAATACGGCTGCGAGTCATGGATAACCCATTATTGTCACCACTATGTTATACATAGGAAACACATTTACAATCTTTAAGTGTGTTCATGAGGTATTTAATGGTATTTGTGTTTATTCTTTCAGCAACCACCACAGCAACCACCACAGTCTCGACAAGTAAAAATGCTGCGACTGTTAGACGACTCATCATATATGACTGTGCAATGCATCTTTCAATGTACTTTACAGAAGTGTTAAATAATTGAATACTCTTTTTCTTTAACAGCCATTTCAACAACTGCATGGACAGGTATTTGTTGACTTTTGAATTAATGATTCGTTCGCGTTAGAATCACCGTAATTATGATATTCTGACTTGTATACACTTACATCTTGATTTGTATTTTTTGTGTTGATTCTATTTGCAGCACCAGCGATATTCTATCCATTCGGCTCAGCGACAGGAGACATAGAACAGCTTGAAATGGATACTGAAACCTACATATATGTTTCCTTCTCCAAGCCATTTATGTTCTTTGGCCGCAAGTACAACGACGCATACGTGAGAATTCCATTTCTCACCAATTCCAGTTCCATTGCTAGTCTAAAATGAATGCAAATGTTGTGATAACTAGAAGAAAGGCCAGCAGCGCCTGTTCTTCCTCCGCCGCCTGAAAGGTTTACTGCTTAGTCCCCCCATTATGGTACAATTCTACAGAGCGGTCATTGAGAGTGTGCTAACATCCCTCACGGTCTGGTTTGCCTCTGCATCAGCCCGTGCAAAGGCCAGGCTACAAAGAG